CAGCGCTGAAGACTACTGCTAGCGCTAAGCTACTCCTGGCAGCGCTCCTCCTGAGTGCTGCGGCCGAATCCTGAAGACTACTCGTGCCTACTGTCCAACTACCTACCCGTGAAGTGCATGGGAACTTCCTATGTACTACTCGGGTACCTCCTGGCTGCAGGCGAGGCAGTCCAGGAGGCTGCTCTTGCCAATGCCAAAGGCAGTCAGGTGCTGCCGCTGCAGCTCCTGCTCAAAGGCTGTCGTGGGGAACAGGCCAGAAATAGCCTGTTCCCAAAACCCTGGTTTTGTGCCTGAGTCTTAGGGTAGGTCGATCTTATGAGGGCCCGAAAGTGGCCCTCCGTTTCAGGCTGAAAAGCCTCTGGGCCTGAAAGGCCCAGAAATAGGCTGAAAACGGAATAGGGCCTGCAGGCCCTCGTTTTCAGTTTCAGGCTGAAACGACCTGGGCCTGTAAGCCCTATTTTCTAGGCTTTTAGGCTGAAAGTGTGGGACGGGCCCTGCAGGCCCGTGTGGCTACTCAGTATGCCACACTCAGCCAGCCCTCTCCAAAAATTTTTTTACTCTATTTATTGGGGTGCGCGCACATGGTTGTGCGTGCACTGGGCGCCACACGTGCGTAGCTCGCCCGCACGCGATGGGCCGGAGTATAGGGGTGATATAAGGGGTTATGGATAGTTTAATAAGGGTGTTGGCGGCTGTTCGGGGCTGTTGGGGTGGTATATGGGGTATTGGGGCCCGATATGGGGGTGTTGGTGATATTATTAGGGGTTCTGGACCCCATTAAAAAAAAAAAAAAAATGCGGGGTGCCGACGACCCCCGACCAGTAGGTGCCGACCAGTCAAGGGTCGCCGACGGTCGGGGTGTGCAACACTGGTTCTCACATATCCAAACATAAAGGAAACGCATATTGGCCACGATATGGAGGAAGAGCTGCCACTCAGCCGATGGCAACGACGCCATCAGTTTGAATCTGTCCGCACAGCACCCACGTAGTGAAGATGCATGACTGTCACCGACCCCTCCCAGATAGTACCGAACAGTCCACATAGTATGCCCCCCACCCACTTAATATCGCCCAGGCCACACAATGCAACCCTGCCGACAAAGTACCACCCGGTCCACATGGTTTGTCATCCTTGCAGGGGGGCATGCTAATCTTCTCTATATCGTTCCAATTTCACTAGATCTTCTGGACTTTTTTTTTTTCTTGGGTGAATCAACGGTGAATCAATCTCTGAATCCATGTCTGCTTGTTGACGCCGTGGAGATCAGCTTTCTGGATATGAGGTGCAATTAGCAAAGAAGGCAAGTAATGAAGACTGAATAAGCAATTGTTAACCTGAACCATCTCATGGCTGATATGGATCGGCTTCGGAACCATCCATAAGGACCGTAACACTTTCGCCTCATATGGCTCTTCTCAGAATCATGATCCTGGGCACTGGAGGAATGATATGGTCCACTCTATTCAATGCAGATACCTATTTGGAAAAATGGACAAGCAAACATTATGTGGGAAAACACATAAATACACATACAAATTAATAAATTATATTAAAAACAAAAGACTAACAAATATTGTGATGTTGTCACCCTGAATCTTTCTGACAGCACACACCCCAAATGTAAAGGCACAACACATGATACGTAGTTGGTACCTACGTGACAACCCGTGTACCTTTTTTCTTTTTGAACCCTGCGTACTGACTGGACAAGTAAGGTTAAACCGCTAGTACACGGCCCCAGCCTTGCAGAAATTTTTTTGTCGCCACAAGCAAAACTCGGAAGCGCTGCGCGGCCAGGCCCACCGTTGAAAAAAAAAATTGGCGGCCTCCGAAGTGGTGCGGGTTTCGTGCTGACACCCGCGGGCCGATATGTGGTGTACTGGTGCTTTAACAAGCAAATTGGGTATAGGATTGTGGGTGGTAACACAGAATACACATCGCACTTAACCACACACCCAAAGACAAAACAACTTATGTAGCAGACAAGAAAATGAGAAGCACCCTGATCCTTGTACCTGGTTGGTAATGAATGGCACACCCCTGCATTCATTGATCAACAAGTTAAGAACCCACAATACTACCCAAAAGAACCTTTGTAGGCTTTGTTGGAGTCTGTCCCCCTCTTGGCTAGTAAAAAACAGGCTGAAGGGGGGGGGAGGAGGAGGGGAAACGAGGGACGAGTTCATCATCGTTTTGTGCTGAACGGGGGGCGGGAGTTCACCATTGTTTTGTGCCTCAGCACTGATGGACAATGACATTGACATCTCACCTCTGGCACAAAGCTGTCCACAAGCAATTTCACGCGACTCGTGGACTCCTCTTCACGTTTCTCATCTCGCCGGTCAATTGAAATCACATCAAGGAAATAATCAGCTGCAAAAATTTCATAGTCACAGACAAGTCAAGAATTCCATTGGTTAGCTGCCCATGCTGATGCTTGCATCCCACATAAGAAAGACAAACGCAAGTTAACCTGGTCAAACCCTGCAGAAACTTTGTGCTACTATAGCTGATCCTTCCCGGACGGGCAATACTCGAAAGGCACCACCACCATCATCATCATGAGCAGCAGCAGCAGCAGCAGCAACAGCATAGCCAACTATAATCACCATCATGACCAACTATGTCATCACCATCATTGCCATCATTTTCATCTTAATATTGTGTCATCTTTGGGAACCTACCGTTTTCACCTGAATAGAACGCCCAGTCATTATAGCTGTTATCTAGACATAAAGTTGCCGCAAATACAGCTATAATGACCGGGCGTTCTATTCGGGTGAAGAAGGTAGTCATACCATGCCAAGGGCCCAGAAAATGTTTCAGGTGGCCTAGGCCGTACCATAGCCGCAGGGCACCGTTCTGAACCTACTGCAGGACCAGTTTGGACTCCAAATTGCTCCCGGTTCTCTTTCCCAAAGCATTGATTTGTGATTTTTTGCATTGCTTTCTTTTTTTTTTTTTTTTTTTTTTGGTGTGTTACAATCCTGGCCAATTTCGAAGTATACATTCACCAGCAAGTACAGTGCCATCCAATTGCAAAAAGAAATGAATGAACTTAAGAGGAGAGAGAGGGAAAGAAGAAGAAGAAGAAGTAAGAAAGAAGAAGAAGATGTACTCCAGCATAGACCAAAGATAATGCTCTTCTTCTTCGCCAACCAATCTCCTCCTCCTTATCTCCTCCTCCCTTATTCAAACAAGAAATAACAATAATAATGTTGAATGGCTGAACCAGAATCAATGTCCGAATCCCACTTCTACTGCAGGCACAACATGAGGTCCACCATAGCCATGGCCACCCTTCTCCTTCCTCTCACATGTAGACCGAGGCTATGGCCGACTACTGGGGGCTCAACCCTCCTGTCCAAAGGACAATCCAAAGCAGCTATGTCGCTGCCTCCCTGTGCAAAGGACAACGCAAAGCAGCTCTGCCGCTGCTCACTAGGCCGCCATGCCTGTCTCTGCCCCGAGCTTCCTTGGTGCGGCACTACCCCAACTGGGGCCTTCCAGATGCAGCGCCTAACAAGGTGATGAAGATGGTGTCCACCATAGCCAGGTAGGTACCTCGCCACTCTCCACCTTGGTCCCCTTCTCCCTCCTCCTCCTACCGATAGAGCTCCACCATAGCCAAGGTGGAAGCTCCCGGCTTCTTCCTCCCAGCAGTGCTGTAGTGGCCAGTGCTACTCCAGCCAGCGCTCCAGCAGTGTGTTGCCAAACTTGCACACTGAAGAATGAGGCCGGGCTCTTCCCTCGGCCTCTTGATATAGCGGCCTACTTGCCTCCTGGGCGGTGACTTCCAGGCCGCTCGGCCTCCCAAGCAACCGGTACCTCCTCCCTTTCGGAGGGAAACATCATTGCAGACTCTGATATTCCCCGTACAGGCTCTAGACTCAGACTGGATGGACTAATACCGGCCTAGACCTAGTCTACCGCTACTGGGCCTCTAAAAATGCCAACTTTGTCTTCTTCTGCTCAGCCTCGAGTACCCGGCACATCTACTGCTACTGGGTGCGGTACCGGCCTACCTGCTACTTGAGTGTTTTTCCGCTGCTCTAAGCACCGCGGGCCCCTGGCTCCGCTACTTGAGTGTTTTCCCTGCTGCAACCCTCAATGCCACGGCCACAGGTGAGTTCCGGCCCTACGGGCCTGCGAAACAAGCAAGTACCCTTGCGAGTCACACACACACTCATACCAACAAGCACTCAGACAGGCACACAGGTCACAAGCACGCACACACACAGACTTAAAAAACTCAGACAGGCACGCAGTGTTCTCAGTCTGTGTTATGGTGGGTCATTACATTTGCTATTTTGCAGAGACCTCCTCTTCTCAGATTATGTCCACATCTGAACCGTCACACATTTCATCCTGACGTGGACTGCCCATGGGAGTGCCTGTTCACAGTGTCCGTTCACAGTGTCCGTTCACAGTGTCCGTTCACTCGATGGCCAAGGTCGGCCTGGGCCGATTTGTAGCTAGAGCGAGAGCTATTTTGGTTGTGTGTGCCGGTCACAGTGACAATTGGTACACAGCTCAATTTTCTCTCCACCTGCAGGCTTCGCACCTGGTCCATATCACACTGCCGAGTCCAGAGTGATCTTGACCTCCCCCAGACCCAGACCAGGAGGCACGAACCCAGCCTCCATTCTGGACCATGATGGTCGAGAATGCCAAACGGGTGGGCCCAGCACTACACAGGCAAGGTCGGCCAGACTGTTGGACACAGAGAGATAACGAGTGGTCCGACTGGAGTAGATAAGCACTGGGTATAGATTGAGGGGTTCAACACTGGACAGGAGGGCGACTGGAAGTCCCGAGTGGAAGGGAACGATACTCGTCAACTGCCACCATCCCCGTGGGATAGACTGTGACCTGTATCTTGCATAATATCTGCTGCTCAAGGCACCACCGTTCGATAACTAGTATCTTCATCCACACACACAGTGTGTGCGTGTGTGTGTGTGTGTGCGTGTGTGTGTGTGTGTGTGTGTGTGTGTGTGTGTGTGTGTGTGTGTGTGTGTGTGTGTGTGTGTGTGAGAGAGAGAG